GCTGATCCTACAGCCTCTCGGGGCAATTGAAATCAACGACAGAAGAGTTCCAAGGCTGGCTCGCTTCTAGAGGGCGCTGTGATGCGAAGTTACTCATCGCGCGTGGCACTCAGCGCACTTGCGCCCCCGCCCACCCCCTACCTCGGCTGAAAGCCCGCGCTTTCAAGGCTGGGCATGGCCGTGGGGTCAGGGGCAAAGAGGGTGGGCAACGAGCGGCGTCGGGGACCGCCCTAAACGAATGGAAGCCCCCCGGCACGCGGAGAGAGAGAGAGAGAGAGAGAGAGAGAGAGAGAGAGAGAGAGAGAGAGAGAGAGAGAGAGAGAGAGAGAGAGAGAGAGAGAGAGAGAGAGAGGGAGACAGAGAGAGAAGGAGAGCAAGAGAGAGAGAGAGTAGAGATAGAGAGAGAGAGAGAGAGAGAGAAAAAAAAAAGAGAGAGGAGAGAGGAGAAGAGAGAGAGAAGAGGAGGGGAGAGAGAGAGAGAGAGGGAGGAGGGGAGAGAGAGAAGCGAGAGAGAAAGAGAGAGAGAGTGAGAGAGAGAGAGAGGAAGAGAGCGAGATAATATATATATATATATATATATATATAGAGAGAGAGAGAGAGAGAGAGAGAGAGAGAGAGAGAGAGAGAGAGAGAGAGAGAGAGGAGAGGAAAAAAGAAGCCGACGAGACTCGGGCAGTCTACGGCCCGCGGGCCAACGCAAACACTTAAGCCGAGAATCATATGAGAGGTCTCTGGGGCCCCAGGAGGCCCAGGATATCATTAAATGGGGGGAGGAGGCGTCGACGAGGAAGCGGGGGAGGTCGGCTCAGCAGCGGCGGCATATCAAACTCGCCCTGAGCCAGTGCGGCCCCAGACAGGGATTCGCGAAAGGCCTCGCGCGCACTCTCCGGGCCCACGCAGATCGGGCAGCGCAAGTCGCCGGGCGATCTCAACGGGGTGAGTGCGCGCTGCAATCTGTCAGGCACCTGCGACGGTTCAACGATTGTACAACATGTCTCTTGGCAAGCGCCACAGGTGGGAAGGTGGGCGAGCAATGGCAGCATTGGTTGGCCACCACGAGCTGATGCATCGGTGCCCTGATCTCGCGCGACGGGAGGTGGCACTGGCGCGCTCGCAAGGTCACCCTGGAGTCGAAGACCTGGCCACAAGGGCCCCTGCCGTCGCCTGGGGGCCCACGGGGGAACTCTTGAGGGGGGCACCTGGAGTTCAGAGGGTCGCTGAAGGGGTCTATTGCGAGCCTGCCCCCAATGGGCCTTGCGAAGGTCCTCGGCGTCGATGCTCCTGGAGCGTGCGGCGACTCTACGGTTAGTGGCTATGTCTTTGATGCTATGGCCCCTGACTAAGAAGTATTTCCCAGGAGGCATGGCCTCCAGGCGCTCCTCATCTCTTTGCAACTGCAGGGCCCACGGATTGGCGCCAGGTCGGATCCAGGCTGAGGGGGTGGGCGTCGGGGATTCGCCGAGCGCCTAGAACTGCCCGAAGAGGGCCGCGACTACCTGCACAGAGTCATCTGGATGCATGGCCAGACGTTGCCAGTAGCCGAGACGACGAATCAGCAGCTCGGCCCTAGCATCTGCGACCCTCAACTTTCGATGCATCAGCCACGCCGACGGCGTGCGCGTGCGATCCCCGCCAGGGCCAGCATGCCGAGCGACCCCATCGAAGAGCGACTTTTGCAAACCCCAAGATGACCGAGCCCAGCTTTACAAAGTCCCGCTTCTCCAGAATGTAGACTTCAAGGCCCGAGAAGGCCGCGCTGTGGATCACTCCCGAGAAAGCCGCGCGCTGAAGTTTCAGGGGCGTGCGTTGGTTCCTGAATCGGCCTAGCTTCGACCAAGCAGCTCTCGTAGCGTCTACCCGAAGACGAACCTCGGCCCCAGCTCCTCCCGCGAGGTGTTCCAGTCCTCCTGAGTGCACCGGCTCGGCTTTACGTGTCCAGGAAACTGTGCACCAGTCCAGAGAGGGCGGCTCGAGTGGCGGCGCATCCCCCAGGGCCTACAAAAACTGGAAGGATGACATCCTTATCGACGTTCTGGCACAAATCCTCCTAGCTCCCTCAACTGATCAGACAGGATGCGAGACGACAGTTTAGCCCTCTGCGCTGCTCGAAATGGGTTGCCGTCTGGAAGGGGCAGCGCCTGCGAGACATCATCTGCGTAGTCCCGCGTGGATAGATCAATTTGCTCCTGATGGATAGGCGAGTCAATCAGCGTCGCCGCTTCCATGAAAAGAACAGAGCCACCGCCCCTCGTATCCAAGACGGCCTGAGTCTCCGTCCTCAATATGCGAGTCCAGGCCTCCAGCGGCTTCACGAACGAACGTGCAAACATCTCGCATGCGTTGCCGTCGCCCATGCCAGCTCCGCGGGAAGGTGCGAAGAATCCTTTTTTTCCTCGCCCGCCTGGATCTCCATCGCAGCCTCGCGATGGCGCTGCTGCAGGAAGACCTGGCCCTGCATGTCGGGGGCCACTTCTCCTATCACCTGCTCCAGCATATCGTGATCGGTGGGCGGGAAGGCGTTGCTCATGCCTTTTTTTCACTTGCAAGTGCGACGCGAGCTCCTTGCGCAATCGCCAGGGGCCTCGATCGACGCGCCGCATAGCCGCGGGCATGAACAGGGGGCCGCGGTCTTCCCCGTCGAACAGATATACCTCTATGCCGAGCTTTGCCAAAACGGCAGTAACAATGAATCAACATTATGGCCGTCGCCCCTCGCTTGCCATTTCCTTTGCTCAACTGAAACGTGCGTGGCCAGCGCCGCTGATGGGGCGTGCGACGAGACTGTCTGATCTGCCTCAGGATTCCAAAGGGCCCCTCGGCAGACCTCGGACAAAGGACATGCACTCGTCGTCGTGCTTCGCCGTCGCCCTCAGGGGGGCCTCCTCGAGCTTCGCGCGTGACCGCCCTGGGAGCCAATAGCCAGACCTCACCAGGGGAAGAATGTGGTGGTGCGCATCGTCTCCTCGCAGCTTGTTCCAGACACTCAAAGGTGTTCGTCCAATCATCGCAAGCCGCAGTGCCTGGGCGTCCACGCATGTCTTCCCACTCCCCGCCAGGATCGCCCAGGTCGCGCTGCCCCCGAGCGGCAGCACTAGGGAAACCAGGGCCCAGCACTCGTGACGCAGAGAAGCCGCCCTCGGTGGCGCTGGACTCCATCGTCTCCCGCCACTCCTCCAGCGCGGGGGCATAGGTCGGGATCGGGTTGAAACGTCTTCGCCGTGCTCCATGTTATCGGGCGCCGATCTGAAACGCAATCCTCCATACAATACTATCATGTCCCTGATCAGCCGCTTGCTGTGCTTCGTGTAGCAGCTCGTCGACCCGTTCTCTACCCAGCCGTGCTCTAGCCCGCCTGATATCCTTGTCGCGCGCTCGTAGTCGTAGGCGATCCGCCTCTGTGAAATTGACGCTCTCATGTCTCCGCTTCTCCTATAGTCTTTCCCGCCCAGCTCGATGTTCACCTGTGGGGCCAGGCCTGCACTGGTCCACGTACTCCGGCTTTGCTGTTTCGCGAACGTCCGTGGCAAGCTGAGCCCAGGCCATGGAAAAGGTCCTCTGTCTGGGTCGCCCGCCTTCATACGAGCGCGCTGCTCTCTGTGCGTCTTTCCACCCCCGCAACAAACTCAGGGGGGGCAGGTAACTTCAGCGCCTTGCCCAAAAGGTCGCGATCCCACCTTGCGTCATTCTTCTCGGGCGGGGGGGGCAGTCTGCAAACGATAGCGCAACTTCCACAGCATCGGGCAATGACCTCTAATGTGTGGCGACGGGATACGCTGCAGGCCTCTCATCGCTCGTCCCAAGCACATGCGAATTTGCGTGGTCTGCGCTGCCTCGCACGGTCCCCGCAAGTGGTCTGTATGCGAGGAGATGTGCGGCAGCGCTCCAAAGTACGTCGGCCCAGTGTCATAGAAGGTGTCGATGGCAGACATCCCCTCCGTACTCATCATTCTCCACCGTGCTGCGCTCACACCATTCTCGAAGCTGTTCGCGTACTGCCCCACGTGCACGTCATCTCTCGTCGCCGTGGGGGTACCGCCCGCTCCCGCTCTCTTCCCAAACTCAGAGTTGGTGTCAGCTCCCGCTATCACCATGCTGCGGGCCTTGGCCCGCTGTATTATCCGATGAAGCCAGGCCGTGAGTTTTGCACACGTATTCGTCCAGTGGTCGACCTGATGCTTCTGTGGGGGGGTAATATGCCAGAATCGCCATCATGTCAAACGTCGGACTCTTCAGTCTCACTGCCCCCCCCCCGTCCCGCAAGTTCCTTGGGAGGCTCAACGATCTCCCGAATATGACTCTGTCTGAATGCACGACGGCGCAACATGATCGAGCAGCCCGCACTTTGTTCGTGTATTTACCTTTCTGCCATCCGAAATTCATCATCATGTGACGCTCCAGCTTCTGGAAGGTCGCTGTGTCCCCTGCTCTGCGTCGTTGCTGGGTGCCCGGCAGGAGAACCAGATCTGCAAATCGCAACCGAGAAGAAATCTCATGCGCTCTCCATGCGTCAAAAATCGAATGGATTGTACAATATCGCTTAAGGAGAGAAGCCCACATGGTGGGCGGGAGCGGGGGGGCAGCAGGCGAAAGGGTCTAGTCTGCGGAACCTGCTTCCAGGGAACCCCATATGGATCCTCGGCCTGAGCAGGAAAGGGCTTAGGAGGAGGAGGAGGAGGAGGAGGAGGAAGAGGAGGAGGAGGAAAAGGAGGAGGAGGAGGAGGGGGGAGGGAGGAGGAGAGGAGGAGGAGGAGGGGAGTTTTGGGGGATGAGGCAGGGGGGAGGGAAGATTGAGGAGAGGGCAGCAAGGCCCCCTGCTGACAAGAGTGTGGGAAAAAGAGAAAAAGAAGAAGAAGAATAAAGGAAAATTAAAAAACTAAAAAAAAAAAAAGACAGAAAAAAAAAAAGGAATAAAAGAAGAAACAAAAAAAAAAAAAAAAAAAAAAGGAAAGGAACAAAGGGGGCGGGAACAGGGAGAGGCGGCGCAAGCAGAACGCGCAGTCCTCGTACTCCTCCTGCTTCGCCGTGTGGGGGGCCCTGCCTATGTCGTAGATCGCGTCCCACCTCGGGGCTGGGCTGGTATGGAAGTCGGGGTTGTGAGCACCCCGGCGCACACAAAACGAGCTCCCACCCCTTCCCTCGTCCCCCCGTCCCACGGCAAGTTCCTGCCATGACAGCGTAATTATGCTATGCTCTGCGTTGCCGCGTGGGCCGCTGAATCCCGAACGAGCCCCGCTGTCTGAGGACTTCAACCTGGCCCCCCCCCCCGCACCGGGGGTCCGCCCGCCGCCCCTCCTGCTGTTTCCTCTCCTCCTCTCCCCTGCGCTCCCCCTTCCCCTCCTCCTCCTCCTCCTCTTCCTCCTCCTCCTCCTCTGCCTCCTCCTCCTCCTCCGCCTCCTCCTCCTCCTCCTCCTCATCATCATTCCCTCTTCCTTCGAACTGCGTAACTCCTCCCTGTCGCACCCCGAGGCCGGTCCAAAGGGCGGGTCGGGCGGGTCGCACCATTTATGAGAAAGCTCGACAATTGCAACAGTGTCACGGATGGAGGGCGGGCCGCTTTCGAAATAGGGCATTCGCCTCAGCGCCGCGCCAATTCGTCCTAAACGTTAGCAAGAGCTTCACGGATAGAGGGGCGGGCGTTTTTGTTCAAAATGTGGTGGCTCTCGCCTAGAGGTTCGCAAGGAGCTTCACGGATGGAGGGCGGTTACAGTTCAAACTGTGGCCCTCGCCTGCGCGCCGCACGCATTCGCCTTAAGAGTTTGTAGCAGCTCAAAGGATTTTCAGAATTCACGTTCCAGAAATCATGTTTTGGCACGATGTCGGATTGTCTCGGCGCAACGGTCACGTTGATTCGTGGTGTTGAGGTCCCAGGACGAGTGTTCTGGCACGATTCGGGATCGTCAAAACGCAACAGCCACTGTGACTTGCGGCATTCGAATCCCAGGGATTGGGTTCTGGTGGAGTTCCGGATTTTTGAACGGTTGTCTTGCAACGGGGCGCTTCCCTCAGTGAAATTATTGTAGAGGCCTATGAAGAGGGAGGGTTTATTCTAGTATCGTTGATGAGTAATTATCGGGTTTGCACTGGTCCTCCTCCTCCCTCCTGCTCATCCTTACTCCTCCTCCTCCATCTCCTCCTCCTGCTGCTCCTCCTCCTCCTCCTCTTCCTCCTCCTCGTCGTCCTCACCCAACTCGTTCCTATTCGTGCTCCCGCCCTGCCCGTTCTGCTGCTCCCCCTACCCATTTTTCTCCCCCTGGAGCACTGCCACACTGTGCGGTGCTCCCGGTCCAAACACAAAGACACCCCAACTCGGATGAAGAACCTAGGCTGCAACACTGGCGTCTTCAACACGCACGCCACTTCAATAGGATGGCCCTTCCTCCTCCTCCTCCTCCTCCTCCTCCCTCTCCTCTTCCTCCTCCTCCTCCTCCTCCTCCTCCTCCCTCCTCCTCCTTCCTCCTCTTCCTCCTCCCTCTCCTCCCCTGGTCCTCCTCCTCCTCCTCCTCACCTCCTCCTCCTCCTCCTCCTCCTCCTCCGACTCCGCCTCCTCCTCTTCCTCCTCCCTCCTCCTCCTCCTCCTTCTCTCCCTCCCCTCCCCCTCCCCCTCCCCCTCCCCCCTCCTTCTCCTCCTCCTCCTCCTCCTCCTTTCCTCCTCCTCCTATTCCTCCTGCCTCCTCCTCCTCTTCTCCTCTCCTCCTCTCTCCTCCTCCTCCTCCCCCTCCTCCTCCTCTCCTTCCTCCTCCTCCTCCTCCTCCTTCCTCCTCCTCCTCCTCCTCTTCCCTCCTCCCCTTCCCCCTCCCCTTCCCCCTCCCCTTCCCCCTCCTCCTCCTCCCCTTCCTCCTCCTCTCCTCCTCCTCCGCCCCTCTCCTCCTCCGCCTCACTCCTCCTCCTCGACTCCTCCTCCTCTTCCCCCTCCTCATCCCCCATCCTCTCCATCTCCCTCCCCATCCCCCCTCTCCCCCTCAACCCCCCAAAACCATCTCTCTTTTCCCCTTTCTCCTCCTACCTCCTCACGCCTCCTCCTCCTCCTCCTTCTCCTCTTCTTCTTCTTCTTCTTCTTCTTCTTATTATTATTATTATTATTATTATTATTCTTATTCATATTCATATTCTTATTCTTATTCTTATTCTTATTAGTATTCTTATTAGTATTATTATTATTATTATTATTATTATTACTATTATTCTTATTATTATTATTACTATTATTATTACTATTATTATTAGGATGATGATGATGATGATTATTATTATTATTATCATTATTAGTATTAGTATCATTATTATGATTATTATTATTAGTAGTAGTATTATGATTGTTACTATTGTTATTATTCTTATTCATATTATTTTTCTGGTTCTTATCATTCTCCTTTTTTTCTTATTATTATTCTTATTGTTCTTCTTCTTCTTCTTCTTAATCTTCTTCTTATTATTCTTCCTCCCCCTCCTCCTCCTCCTCCTCCTCCTCCTCC